AAGCGACTAAACTTTTTCATCGGCTTCCAACTCAGCAACCAAGAAAGCTGGGAGGCTGTAATTTTGACGGATTTAAAACAAGTAGGAAAATGCTGCAGAAATTTTAGATGTCTGTCTTCTCTGGTTGCTGAGTTGAAAGTGGTTGACAAAATGCACCCTAAACATATACAAATACACTGGCGCATACTCACTGAGACAAGCGTATAAGACACCTGGTTTGTTTTGCACGGACTCATCATGGGAATCGCATCTGCAGTGATTGTGGGTTTTGATGTTTTGCGATGAGACTGTTCCCGAACACAATAACACCGATTCATTTTCGACAGAAGTAAAAGATCCACGCATGATTTAACAATAACTCCCGCAGAAGTAAAAGATCCATCAAAAGCAAGTTTCATTAATAGTCCAATTCTTAGTTCACTTCTCAAAATTACTCGTTTTGGCTGTCTGCATGTTTATATCCACATCCTCTCGAACCATGTTCTTTTTCTCATTAACCCCCTGTCACGTTCTGATTCTTCCTGGTTTTTCCTCTTCTGGGATACCATCAATTGATTTTCGACAGAAGTAAAAGATCCACGAATGATTTAACAATAACTCCCGCAGAAGTAAAAGATCCATCAAAAGCAAGCTTGATTGATAGTTTAATCCTTAGTTCACTTCTCAAAATTACTCGTCTTCGCTGTCTTCATGTTCATGTCCACATCCTCTCGAATCATGTTCTTTTTCTCGTTAACTCCTTGTCACGGTCTGTTTCTTTCTGGTTTTTTTTCTCCTGGGATACCACTTTTTCCCGGATTCTCATTTTTAGATTTCCTGCCCGTGGGTTTCCGTTTTTCTTCATCCCTTTCGCGTTCTTTCCCCGCACTCCACACTTTCCGCCGCCGCTTTTGTTCTTGAACCCGATTATGCAGTGATGCACGGGCAGTACTTGCCACATTAGACCGTAACAAGAAGTTCGCTGCGTCAACGTTCCTCGAAAGATGTTCGCTACGCGGCCGGCTGCGAGTAGAAATTGCAGAATGACTGCGTCGGCACAATTGTTCTTTTTTATGTGATTACGATCAGAACAAAATCTGACTTTTCTTGTAATCTATGCGAAATTCTTTCGTTCGCAAATTTACATATCACCTTTTGGACCTTTATGCGTATTGTGTGAGTATTAATTAGCAACCAGCTGCAAATAACAGCGTTGCAGTTGATACTGAAGACCAAGTTTAAAAGATTTTGGTTTCTTTCTTATTTCTTTGCAAGAAATATCGATAAGTACCGTGGCCATAGCAAGTTATGAACTACCGTATACAGTAGAGTGTTCGTTGTCACTCGCTTTCATTTCAGCGACTAAAAATGTTAGGAAACTGAAGTAACGGGGACATATTCCTACTCCATGCGCGAATCTGACGTTTTAAAGTCTACATCCACGTGGGTCCAAATTTTGCGTAGGGCCCCCGAAAAAATGTGTAAATTTTCTGGTCAAAAACGATTTCGGGAACCAGGCAAGATAAAAAACTGAACCTTGCAGGGACATTCTCTACGCATGCAAGAGTTAAAGTTTTTGAATCTAGCTATCGCGTACACTTGCATGGCACGTACGACCACGTCGCATCTACGTGGCATGTACGATCACATCAAAGTTGGTGCTTAGCATTATGACAACTTGAAAACTAGCCAAAAGATGATAGTTGGAATTTTACCAGGATATTTATTATTCAACTGGGGAAGACCGTACTTGACCAACCGCGAGCGAAAAAAGCACTCACGTTGGCACTCACGTACGAACACTTG